CCGCCTGATTGATAAGGATTAGGAAGGCGAAGCACAGTCCGACCAAGGACTGGGACACCAACGCGGTATGGGTGGACGCGGGACGGGCGGTGACGGTCACACAGGAGCGACACACAGAACCACAAGACAAGACACTCAGCCAACGTGGCTGCCACACATGATCCTGAGCGGACTCCCTAGTCACCCGCGGCCGGACTCCATCCGACAGCGGGACACGCGTCTCGCTGGGCGCTCAGAGCTGCGTCCCCTGCTCGCCACCCCGACGCTCACGGCGCCCGAATCGAACGACAGGCGGCACGCGAAGACTGGTTGCAATCCCGCCGACCACCAGGCCGCGGGATGATGCGTGCGTGGTCTTGTAGTGGGTCTCGGAAGCTCCCCTCTCGGTTAGGGGCCAGCGCCTCTCCCTTGCCCTCGGAACAGTGTGTCCGAGTCGAGGCGTGTGCTTGCCGGTCGACGGCCGCGCGCGGTTGGCATTGTGACGAAGGTTGCGCGCGGCCGCGGGCCGGCGCGCCCGCCATGGTTTGGCGCGCCTACCAGAGCGGCAAATGTCGAGGCACGGGAACGCTTGTACCCGGGGTCATCCTCTGAGCCTGGTCGTCGGCGCCGCGATGCCACGGCTCCATGCAAAGGGAACGCCTCCATGCAGGTAGGTAGGTTCATCTCCCCCTTGAACTCGCGCCACCGCTTCAGCACCTCGCCGCATTGCATCCTCAGGTTGTGGGACACCACATAGCATTGAAGCCGCCCGCTCCGCCGGCGCCGCAATGGGTTGATGCAGCACCGCCGCCACGATGGCGCTCGGCCTCCGCATCCGCGAGTCTCCCAGCGACGCCGTGGTGTCCGCCGCCGCGAGCGGCGCCAGCAGCGCCGCCTGCGCCGCCGCCCGCTCCTCCGCCGCCCTCTGCCTCTTCTCTTTGGGCACGTCAGCCCACTCCTGGTGCTGCAAGGCGCGCCGCTCGCCCGCCTCGCGCTTCGCCTTGCTCTTGGGCGGACGGGCGTACGCGAACAGCTCCTCCGCGTCGCCCGCCGCCGCCCGCCTTGCTGCGGGCACGGTGTGCAGCGCCTCCACCGGCCACGCCTCCCGCAACGCCGCGCCGCGGCCCTCGCCCAGCCGCCGGAATGGTCCGCCACCACCGTTCGCCTTGTCCGCCGCTCGGGCCGCCGCCGTCAGCGCCACGCCCCCGCCGACGAACGCGAGCGGATTCGGCATGGTGCGGCCGGCCCTGCGCCAAAGCCACGCTCCGGTGGGTGTCGGTCGCGGGCCTGACACCCAATGAGACACGCTCCGCACCTCCGAAGCCTCCGAACGTTCGATTCGCCCCGTAACGTCTAACCGCCCGCCGCGCATAACTCCTCATCACCTCCCTACCAACATACATAGCTAAAGCCTCCCCGTCTTTGTAGCCTGGCGTTTGTGCCCCGTTTGTGCCGCGTCCCGTGCCCCCGAGTTCATTTATTTAATCTCAAGCTAAAGGTGAAGAACAGCAACGCGGTATGGGTGGACGCCGGACAGATGATGACGACACGCACGAGCGACACACAGACACAAACAAGCTCACAAGACACACAGCCAGCGGGCTGCCACACACCCTGAGTTGGCGTACACATAACTCAAGGCCACATCCTCCCTGTCGCCCCCCCCAGCACTCCAAGGTGCCAAGAGAACAAACAAGGGCACAACAAACAACAGACGACAGGAAGCAGGTGTGAACGGTCTCGGGTTTGACGCATGGGGTCACTCCCTCCCGCGAAACTCGTGAACTAGCCGGGGCAGTCGGAGAAGGGGCAACTCCGTGCACTGACGGTCGGCCGTCAGAAAACACGCCTGCGTGGCTCGGGTTACACCAATCCTCGCTACCCAACGCGGCCAAAGGATATCCACCTCGAGAACCTCGAGAGAGGGCGGAGAGCGTTTTTTTATATGTATGTTCCACGGGACAGATGATGACGACACGCACGAACGACACACAGACACAAACAAGCTCACAAGACACACAGCCAGCCGGCTGCCACACACCCTGAGTTGGCGTACACATAACTCAAGGCCGCGCTCCCCCCCTGTCGCCCCCCCCAGCCAAGTTGCCGAAGGAACAAACAAGTGTGCTTGCCGGTC